TGCATATATATATATACATGTGTGTATATATATATACATGTGCATATATATATATACACACACACACACACACACACACACACACACACACACACACAGTATATACACTGGGTGAATGTGCAGTAGTGGCAGACCTGGTACAAAGGGTGCCAAGAAACTCAAACCTGGCCTCAGGTGTGGATGCAAGCTAAGTAAAAACAGGAAAAAGTTAATGCGGCTCTTAGAATTACACACACACACACTGACCATCACGCAGTGGTCACTGAGTGGTAGCAAAGCTTGAAAAGTACTAATTCCATATATGTTTATATATGTCCACTTTATTTATAGAGCAAAAACACTAAAATACACCAGGACACCAACATAAAGGGAACTGCAGTAATCAGTAAGCAAGTTGATATAAAAACGTGGCTCAATCTGTCAAAATCCTTAGGAAGAAAATAAAGCTTTACCTTAGCAAGAAGTCATAGCTGAATAAAGCTTATTTGCTTTGTGAATTTAAAGGAGCTGTCAAAGAATATGCCAAGATACCTGACAGAGGAGTGAACAACAAAGCGCTCAAGATGGTTTTGGAAAGATCTCCTAAATACCATAACCTCCATTTTGCTATTGTTAAGGTGGAGGAAGTTTGAGTTCATCCAGACTTTTATATCAGCAAGACAGTCCGATAACAGTTTCACAGAGTTGTCTTCATGCATGCTCAGACATCCAGGTAAGTAAATCCCAAAAAGCTGATTCTGTTCAACCTTTTGGGATCCAACGTCACTTGGATGAGTGATGAAACGTTTCTCCCACTGAAAACGCTGCGTCCAAGACTTGTTTTTCTTTTTTTATGAATGTCATCAGCAAAGCAGTGGAAAGAGATATTATATTTAAAATAAAAATCCACCCTAGAGCCAACATATATAAGGAAAATAAGAGTGGCCCTAGGATGGATCCTTGAGGAACTCCACAAGTAAGAGGTGCTGCAGCTGAGGAAGAAGCATCTATCTGGACTGAGAAGCTCCTGTTCATAAAGTAAGACTTAAACCACTGTGGAGCAGTTCCCTTAATGGCCACAATGCTCGAGCCTTCATAGCAGGATACTGTGAGTGTCGGCTACAAGCATCAGAAAAACAGGGGTTCCCAAAGATGCGCGGTGAGATCTAAAGTACACGGCGTGAATGCTGATTGGCCCGAAGAAGGCCAAGAGAAAGATGATTGGACTAGAATAGTGATGTCACAAACAGGTTGAGAGCGTGGGAAAGTGGAAGTGATGTGAAGTTTAGATTTAGCCGGCAACACCTGGGAGCAGACGGATGTGAGCCTACACGTACGCTTCACTTAACACTGACAAAGACACAGGCTCACACTGGTTTACAGCAGCAGGGAACGACACTCCCAGTAGGGACCAGTACCTCAAATCTGATATTTTTCCAGTAGAAACTGTTGAAATCTTTCACAAAGTGTTTTGGAAGCTGTAGAGGTGAATGAGTGGGAGGTTTTGAAATGACTGTTAGAAGAGATTAAGCAACTTTTACAGCATGTTGATTTCTGTAAACAGTCCTTCAAGATTCCTAAGGACACACCAGGCTTGTCCAGGCTTGTCCAGGCTTGTCCAGGTTTGTCCAGGCTTGTCCTGGTGTGTTCGTCTCTGCGTTCAGCCCCGGGTCTGCGAGTGTATAGGTGTTGCACAGGCAACATGCAAACTGAGAAACCCCAGCAGAACAGCTGCTGTAAATGAGATGAGGTTCCAGTTCTTCCTGACGTGCTCCTCTGCAGGCTGCTGGGCGGAGCGAACAGAGGTGCACAAGGCAGCGTCGCTCGGCCAGGCCTCCCAACTGGAGGAGCTCATTCAGGGCGGAGCCTCGGTCAACATGGTGGCCGTGGATTCCATCACACCGCTGCACGAGGCGTGCCTCCACGGACAGGCCAAGTGTGTGCAGCTGCTGCTTGAGGCTGGAGCTCAGGTGAGTCACAGGCGCAGTAATGTGATCTACAGTCGGTCAAGCTGTAGATCAAACAAGTAGAAATGGCTTGATGGAAAACACTCTGTTCCCCATGATGCTGTCAGGTGGATGCAAGGAATGTGGATGGAAGTACCCCGCTGTGTGATGCCTGTTCAGCTGGGAGTTTGGAGTGTGTGAGGCTTCTGCTGCAGTACGGTGCCAAGGCGAACCCTGCCCTCACCTCCCGCACAGCCTCACCCCTGCACGAGGCCTGCATGGGAGGTGAGAGTGTCGCGTGTTGTGCTTTTGTCTGTGTTTTTGGAAAATAAAGGTTAATTTTATATATGTTTGTATTTCAGGAAACTCTGAGTGTGTGAAGCTGCTGATTTCCATGGGAGCTTGTCTGGAGGCGTATGACCTTTACCACGGCACCCCGCTGCACGCGGCCTGTGCTAACGAGCACACGGACTGTGTTAGAGAGCTGCTCAATGCAGGTGAGGGTCTGCACAGTAGGATGAATCAAACACAGAGTACAACACAGTATAAGCTACCTTACAGTCAGCGTGCCAACTGTAGACCAGCAGGTGTAAGGAGCAGATGAGAACACATTTTGAGCCGTAAGAGGATGGTGGGTACTGTTGCTGGTCACGCTGGGAGTGTGAACTTTGGGACCACGAGAACGAGGCAACAGGATTTTCGTCCTGATGCCACAGGTGTGTGAGGAGCAGAGAGAGGTTTCCAACATGCTGTTGGTAAAAGCACGAGTGTTCTTCAGACATTATTGGCACACAATCACAGAAATGCTCCAGAAAGAACAAAAAGCACCTCCGTCAGTAATGTTTGCCCCCCTGAGAAACTGAGCTTTGTGTTGATGCCCGGCACGCACCGCCGCGGTGCAACCATGTGTTAAATAACCACACCGACGTCTTCCTTCAGGCTTAGATGTTTCTGTTCTGCGTAGGCGCTAAAGTGAACGCCGCCAGGCTGCACGAGACTCCGCTGCACCACGCTGCTAAAAGCATGCGGGTGGAGACGATCGAGATGCTGGTGGAGTTTGGAGCCAACATCTACGCTCGAGATCAACACGAGAGGAGACCCGTGGACTACACCACGCCGGGCTCTCCCTCTGCAGCCTGCCTACAGTCTTATGAGAGTAAGTTTCATGAGTGTGCAGCACCAGCAGGAGGCACGAGAGGATCATTTTCACTTCCACGAAGCGTCAGAAAGACGACACCTGACATGTGCCATAACATTCTGATGCACAGCTGCTCAGCTTTACTCTCACAGTGAATCAGTGTTCTAGAGGCTGACACGTCATTTTGTTCTTGTGAAAAATGTCATATTATCATTTGCATGTGTTATGAACAGAGATTTGACATGTTTTCCCCGTGTTCAGCCTCTCCTCTGAGTCTGCAGCAGCTCAGCAGGTTGGCAGTGAGGAGGAAGCTCGGCACCAGGGCTCTAAATGTCATAGGCCAGCTGGAGGTCCCTAAACTCATCACCAGCTACCTCTGCTATCAGTGAGCGCCACCTGCAGGAGGAGCCGACCGGCGCTCAAAGGACTGGAAACTGCACAGCACTGTGTTAAATATGAGCACAGCTGCCTGAGATTCCTTTAGTTTAAGAGCCCTGCCATGCACACACTGCAGCAGCTACTGCACTCGGCGTGTTCAGGCTGTGTGATCGCATTAGTGCTGCTGTAAGATGAGATGTTTTTAAAGAGCAGAGTAACACTGACTTTCACTTGGCTTGCTCTCTAACACACACACACACACACACGCACACGCACACACACACGCACGCACGCACGCACGCACGCACACACACACACACACACTGAACACATGTTCTTTGCTTCTGTCTCGTTTGCAAAGCTAGTTTAAACGTGTGTTGAACGTGGACAAAATATGTGGATGTTGACTCTGATGTTGTGACATCACCACCTGTTAACAGGAAGTGTTTAAATGCAAGTGTCTGTGCTGTAAATGCCTTTAATGCTGCTGAAAACACACGATACACGTTTAATGTTTGGTTTCTATGCTGGTCGACAGTTTGTGAGTCTGAGAGGAAGCACAAAGCAGCAAAACACTGCTGCACTGCACGTCTTTGGGTATGACCTCGAGTCGGGAGGAAACGAGAGTGATGTTAGTCCCGCAGCTACTTTAAAATAAGCTCAGCACTTCACTCTCTGCATGTGATGCGTTTAGTCGACTGGCAGTGATGGCAGGGACAGCGAGTGGAAACGCAACATCTGCTCATGTTAACACAAGCAGCACTGACAGACTCGCCTCCTACAGCAGCTTCTGTTATCAGAGACGGCGGCTCTCACACCTTCTCTTTGACTTTGTTAGTTAGATGATGTGTGGGGGACTTGTTTGCCAGCGACTAATCTGAGTCCTAAACAGCTTCATGAACAGTCTGTCTACCTCCAGAGCAGAGTGTGCTTCCAATCATGACTGTGTAAGGCTGTTTATTTTTAACTGGAAACGACGCTCAGGAAGACGAGATGTTGCTTTTGGAAGCAGCTAATGGTTTCTGGATCAAACGCTGGATCTGCTGGGACAGCGCAGCACAGACTCAAAGTATGAAATGATGAAGTGGGGCATGGCGTGCAAAGGAAAGAAAGCTTCTCGTAAGAGGAATACCAAGCAAGTCTGCTGTCAGGGCTGCAGCGTGAAACTCTGCAGATGCTCCCTGCTGGTGCAGTTCCAGGAGACGCTGATCCTGGTCACTTATTTATAGCCGTGAGACATTTATTCCATTAAATCTGCTCCACAGGCGACGCACTGAGCCCTGTCAGGTCCTAATATTTTTAACAGGAGGCACAGGAAGCTGGTATGAATTCCTTCAAGTTCTTTATATTGTTTCTTTTTCCCTGTCTGGCAGTTATTAACTGTGATTTATCCTTGGGAAGGGAGTCAGGCCACAGGCCTCTCTTTAGCAGTGTTACTGGGTTATGTGTCTGTAAATACCTGCAGCACATTCTTAATAATAATAATATTAATGATCAGCCAAACGTCTCGGGAACCGTTTAACTTCTGGGTGGCTGTGTTTGATCTCATAGCTGCTCACAGCAGAGGTCTCTGATGAAGCAGTCGTTGTTTTTAACACCACTGCTGATCTCACAAAGACACCGTATTCACAAATCACAGCTGTCACTGACTCGTGCTCAGGTTACATCACCTACAGAGAGAGGACGCACATCTGTGACCTCACACTGCTGCAGAAGCGCTTCACAGCTGGATTCTGTTGAGTGACCACTGGGTGGTGATGAGTGTCACACTGGGTGCTCTCTGATCTACGCCCACACTGATGCATGCTTTTCTCTCTGTTTTGGCCTCCCGTCCACACTGAGACGCCGTTTTCGCTCAAGGAAAACGCAGCGTTTTGAAAACGCAGCATTTTGCGTCGCAGTGTGGACAGCGCAAACGTAGACTTTCTAAAACAATGACGCATTTTACTCTGTGAAAACGCAGGGTGGACGCAGAGCGTTGTCAAATCTATCTGGGCTAATGTGGACGTGGTACAAACATTCATGTGTGGGCTCAGGGACGTCTCTCAGTTTCAGGCAGGTACACTCCTCTCGTCACATTCACCAGCAGACGGCGTCTTTGTGACTGGGTAACATGGTGGCTCCGCCCTTTATAGTTTCCATACTTGAAACTTCCATTTTCAAATACTAAAATTATTTTCAAATACTTCCATATTTGAAAATAACAGCAGCAGCAAGCCCGAGTCACACAGGTCGCTCTGCAAACTCCTGTTTACCAGGGAAAATGTGGATCCCACACCCAGCTGCCGAGTAGGCGCTACTGTGAAACTGGCTGCAAAGACAGTCAGTCAGTTAGTCAGTCAGTCAGTCAGTCAGTTAGTTAGTCAGTCAGTCAGTCAGTTAGTTAGTCAGTCAGTCAGTCAGTCAGTTAGTTAGTTAGTTAGTTAGTTAGTTAGCTAGTTAGCAAATGTTGGTATTTTCATCCAAACTACAAGGAAGTTCCTGGTGGAGCCTCCATCACAAACCCAACAGCCACCCGTGAGCTGGTTGGAGAATCTTTTATTGAGGAGAAAACAAGCAGACGGTTTCATGCTGAGGTTAGTTTATGTTGTGTGTAAGAGCGACTCGACCATCCGATTGGCTCCTGTAAAGCCTCCTCTCACTGACATAATACATTTCCATGTCGCAGTGCTTCATGTTATAGCCTGAACCACAAGAACTCGCCTCCTTTCTTCCTCGCACACCTGATGACATGAAGGATCAACTCTGTGCACGTGCGGCCTGCTGACATCACCCTTCAGTGTTTGAGCTTCTCCTCGCTGCTGTCTTCAGCTGCCAGCCGGCACAGTTACCTTGCCCAGCTTTAAAGAGCACGCGGCGTCTGTCAGCGCTCGTGCAGATCAGCACCTGCTGTGTTGCCTGTTGGTCTGACAGCTTCAGCAAGAATTCAGAACCAATATTTCATAGTTCGTGCCTTCATCCAAATCTCTGTTCACTCCCTCGTTTGGCCAAACGTGAGCGGGCTTCACGATGCTGGCCTGCTGTCATAAATACGCACGCTGTAAAAAGTTAATCAAAATCTAGATTCCTAGAAACGTACCATGTCAGGCTGTTACTCATTTGAAAGAAATGCAGCCGGGGTCATTGTAACGTCAGCCTGTAAATGGTTTGGAAGCACAGCTCTCACGGAGCGCTGCCTTCAACAACACATCAAATCCTCTGCTTCAGGCTGAAAATAACTACTATGAAATGTGTTTGGTGTCAAAGGCTTGGGCTGAAGAACGACACGAGGGCAGCTACTGAAGATCAGAAGCGTCTCTCAGTCCATAACAGAGCTTTGAAAGCAAAGCTTGCTGTAGACAGCATTTCTTTTCTGCTGATTGAACAGATGCAGTTCTCTCTCAAGCACTGATTAAAATCCTGATCAATAACACACAACGTGTCCTCAGTATCCATGTTGTTAAACTGCTCTGCATGTGATGAATAAACTTAAAGTGCACTAACGATGTGTTTGCTGACCTTTTTTTCCTGCATGAATTCAGAGAAACAACAGGACCTGCATGCTGGCCCGGGCCATCATGGCGGCATCGGTCTGTGTGAACAGGCCAACTTATTCTAGAAAGCACCGTTTGTGACCAGCATAGGACTGTTGACAGCACTGTAGCATGGCGTTTTATTTCTGCCGTGTCGTTCCATCATTGAAGAGATGCTCGATGGACCGATTCTTAAATCGTGCTGTGCATTCACACTCCCATGGATGCATCAGAGAGCAGCTTGGTGTTAGGATCTTGCCCAAGGATGCTTGGCAGGGATCGAACCACCAACCATCCAATTAGTAGGTGACCTGCTCTGCAGCCGCTCCACGGTAACCAATAACTGAGTCCAAAAGTCCCAAACAACCAAACATGACGCACTAACGCACAACAAGGTGTTTATAGATGAAACAAGTCTGTAAAACCGCAGGTATTAAAGATGCATGTATACACAAATATGTTGGCTTGTACTCATCATGATCAAATACACTCGACAGGTAAATGTGTCACATATACTACAGCACACTGGCTGCTTCTCCCTCAGCCTGGTTCAAGGGAGTTTTCCTTCCCACTGTCACCAAGTACTTGCTCACAGGTGGCTGTTTGATTATTGGGGATTCCTCTGTATTATTCTAGAGTCTTTACGATATGAAACTATCCCAGCCACCACAGGACTGACACACACAGACACACAACCATTTGGATTCAAACCAACAAAGCTAACCCTGCGTGTCCTAAGACTGTGGGAGCAGCAGGGGAACATGCAAACTCCACAGAAAGGCAGGTGGAGGAGTCACACAGCACCTCCCTGCTGTGAAGCAACAGTGCTAACCACCACCCCAACTTGGAGATATGTTTATATATATAACTTGATTCAGGGTTGTGTGTGACGTGCACAAATACAAAGCTCAAACTCACGTTTACATGAAGCCGTGTGGGTCAGAGGAAAGCTCATGAGGCGAAAACGTCTTCAAGCAACTTAAAGAAGTCCAGACGCTTTTCTTTGCAAGCTCCTTTGACTACGATGACCTGGATGACTGAGAACCTTCACAGACTCATGGTTATCTAATGTGCTGAAATCAAGCAGCTGCCATTCACAGCTACTAACAATGTTATTAACTCAGTTTCCTGCCCTCAGCTGCCACAGCAGCACCTCCTGTGGTCTCAGCTGTACTCGGAGTATGACGTGTGTTTACGTGAGGTACTGCTGCCTTCCTGTCAGCTCAAAGGACTCTGGCCATCCTTCTCTAACCTCTGGCATCAGAGAGCTGCTACTTCCTGGATATCTCCTCTGTTCAAACCATTCTCTGTAAACCCCAATGACTTTGGGGTGGAAAGATCCCAGTACATCACCAGTTACTGAATTTCTCAGTACCAGCGATAACCACACCATGTTCAAAGCCACCTTAATCACTCTCTGCTAGTTTGAACTTTAGCATCTCTTCATGCTAAGTCAGTATATCCTAATGCTGCCATGTGATTGGCTTATCAGATATTTGTGGAAAAACGTAGCAGGTGCATCTATGGCAGCAGCAGGTGAGCGCATGTGACTGGAGTGATGCACAAAGTGTGGACGCTCAGGAGGAAGAGGACAGGACATGCATTTCCTGTTTAAAGTCAAGATAAGATGCTCTGTAACTTTGACACTTAGACTTCATTGACTGTAGTCTTGTGATTGCTGTCAGAATCAGTGCTGTTTATAAGTGCTGTTTATAAGCGCTGGTTGCTGCCGACATGATTTTAGCTCATGCAGCAGCCCGCTCAGT